AATCGATATCGACGACCGAGTGAAACGAGTTTCGGCGCGACGGGTGAGAACGGGAGGGGAGGTACAGTAAGAGAGAAAAAGATAAAGAAAGAGAGAGAGAGAGAGAAAACTTCGTTTTCTCGCGCTCGCGGACGAATCGTGTAATCCTATAGGAAACCCTTGCGCGCACTCGAGTTTCACCTTGCAATTCTCTCGGCGTTACCGAACTTCTCGTCCTCTTGTCACGGATAGTACCGGAGGCAGTTAAGCGATCGGCCCGGCAATGACGAGTCCCGCGAGGAGTGCAGTAGCGCGCGGAACTTCTACAGCCGAGTCGCGCGCGCGCGAGCGTGAATGCGCAGCGCCGTGATCGAATGCGAGCACGGCAACTCCGTGGCCTTATTCTTTCTCGCGTGGCGAAGTGTCACACTGTTTGTCTCTCTAGACCAGAGAGCTAGAGAGACCGGTTGCGCCGAAGAGAAAATCCTCTTTTTCCGTATACTTTTCCGCCGCGCGTTCGCTGCTCCAGTTCGCCGCAGCGTGTATGTCTCGGACCGCGGCGGAACCTCCTCTGCATCGCGGAGCTTTGTATAATTGAGATAGTACCGGCTACGTGTGGAAAAAGGACACGTAAGCCCGTTTCGAGACTCGGGGAGATAAAGTTCTGAATTTATTTTACAGTTAACGTTAATGGAAGTTGGAAATAGGCGCTACAGGTAGAATATCTACGACGGTAGAATAAAATCTTTAAACATATAGGTTTTCCTGAGAGCCAGATCTGTTTTTACTTATCAGTTCTTTCAGCCGAAGCTTTATTTATTCTTTATGCCCGAATGCTATTCTTTGAACGATCAATATAGCGTCGCGTTAATGTGATTTAGTACACAGAGAGAATTTGTTTTTTAATTTACTCTGCAAATCATGTTAATTGTGGGACAATATAGTATTTAGGAAAATTTTACTGTGCACTATAATAAATTTGACAGTAGTAAAATACAGTAAAATTTATTGTAGTGCACAGTGAAATTTGCCTAAATACTATATTGTCCCACAATTAACATGATTTGCAAGGTAAATTTAAAAAAAAATTCTTTCCGTGTAGGTTTATTTCGCATAAAATAGTTTCGTGTGTAAGAAGCTTCTCTTATGTGTATTTATACAATATATATACATAATATATGTATATATACAATATCAACTAGAGGACGTACATTACGAATAAAATGTAAAATTTCACAGATTCATTACCTTAAAATATCTTAAGATGGATGAGCTAATAAAATAGATATTTAATTATAGATATTATCCTGAAAATTATATATTTATTTATCGTGCATATAAAAGCGAATTTCGCACAAAATATATATTACTTTCAAATCTGATAGGAATATTATCGTCACATTTCGAACATTTTCAGGTAACGCAGCTGAGAATATACCATGAAGATACAATATATTAATAATATTTGGACAATTTTAATATAAAGTACGGTACTTTAATATTTGATATTCCAATACTTAGAAATAATTTCTAGCATTTTATATTTAAAGAAAGAAAGTTTATTTTCTGACTTCTTACATAAATTATTAACTTAATTAAGTCATTTAATTAAAGTTTATTATAGAATTTAATGTTTCAAATATTATATATTTAATTACATTTTCGAATTCATTACTTAGAAATAATGATACATAAAATATAAAAGAAAAAAATCAAGATAAAATTACAAATAAAACAGTGTACTTTAACAAGCTTTTCATATTATAAAAATTATAAGTATCTTTTTCTTAAATATCTCTATGGTAAATTCACATTCTGTGGACGATGACAATTGGACTAATATATTTAAATATTGTATATAAATAAAATAAAAATCAATTGATATTTACATGTAACAGCTATTTAACAAAAAAAGAAGAGCACAATACAGACTCTTTCACAATGTAACTACCAATCTATAACTCAGAGCTGTGCTTCTTCTTTATCCCATCTATTAGAAAGTCGAAAATATGACAAACTTGTAATCATAGTATAGAAAGGAATGTTATATAGTTACATCTCTAATAAACCTCATAAAAGTGAGGCATATGTGGGGTGAGGGATCGAACCCGAGACCGCCGATTACGAATCAACGTGCTCGCGCACTGAGCCACTCGCTACCCCGCAGAGTCACGTGATACTTTGGAAATATTAATTCAACATAATCAATAATAATATTTTAATTAATATTAATTAATATTTACTAATTAATAAGTATGTTACTTTATTTTCCCTCTTCCAGTCTCTTCGAAATTATACATACCTATTCTTAAGATGAGATTTGTATCTCTTGAGCTTTTTTACATTTTTAATATATTATAAAAATTATAAGTAACATCTTTTTCTTAAGTAAAATCTTTAAACATATATATTTTCCTAAAAGTCAGATCTGTTCTGGCTTAGGTATCAGTTCTTCCTGCCGAAGCTTTATTTATTCCTTTTGCCCGAATGCTATTTTTTAAACGATCGATATAGCGTCGCGTTAATATGATTTACTTCCCAGTAGTTTTCGCATAAAATAGTTTGGTGTATAAGAAGCTTCTCTAATATGTATTTATCATAAATCCGAATAATTCTCAAGACGTTCACGGATACCTCATGAAGGTCCGTGAATACCCATTGGATACGTTTGTCTGCTATACGAGCGGCGGTTCTCCGAAGCGGCGCTGTAATTTACATGCTCGCAAATCGCTTTCGCAATTTTGTTCGGACGTGTCCGAACGTTTTTTTCCCTTTTCCTTCCTTTTTTTCCTTTATCCCGATCGTACATCTGGCCGAGGATTATTCGCGAACCGAGAGATCGCAATCACGGCCGTTCGTTTCGCGCGGCATAACGTCGTCGTATCCCATGAGGCCTCCTCTCCTCGTCCATCGACACCGTGTCATCCGATAGCCGCAGGATATACGTGCCTAGCCGAGGGAGAGGAGAGGAGAGAGAAAGAAGATAGAAAGATATATCGATTGCGCGGCGTCTCGCCTTTTGTATGAGTTCGCGCGGCCGACCGGCCGGTCGCGCCGCGCCTAGAGATCCGAACACGGGGATGCACTTCGATGCGCGCGCGAGGCGGAGGGCCGGAAAGATAGGAGGGTAACGCGGCCGGAATTAATGCGGAGTGAGTAAGCCGGCTTGGTAGTCGCGCCCAGGGAAAAAGGGATTTATGCACCGCCAGCGTTGATAAAATATATCCTGCGGCCCCGAGGAGATATATGTGTACACACCTCGCGTCCTCTCCTCTCTCGCTTCGACTTCTCTCGCCTTGCATCTCGCGTAACTCGCATTGCGCGCGCGTGTGCGAGCTTGCGTTTTTCCGGCGCGAAGCACCTTCTTAGTCCTGTTGCAGCCGTCTGAGTCTGATAAATAGGACTTTGGAGGATCAATAATTTGATAATCCAAATGAACGATTAATCGTGGACATACCAGTGTTATCAATACGTCCGTAGATTTATATTACAAATAACAATCGAAAAAAAAAAATAGACATCGCGCTCGAAGGATGTGACGCCTAAAGAAGAATGCAATTAGCGTTTTAGCAGAAGCGTAATTAGCGTTTTAGCGCAAGATCGCCAAAGAAGCGGAACTCGTCCCGCGTGGTGTCCGGTGAGATGAGAAAGAGATCGCCGAGGTGGGGAACGGATATAGAAGGGGGAGAAAGAGGGAGAGAGACGAAGAAGGAGGAAAAAGGGGAAGGAGAGAGAACGCCGCGCACTTAGGGCCTTTCGTCACGGAGAGACGGAGGCGAGACTGCAGAGGCGAGAGCCGAGAGCCGGCCGCGCGCGGTCAATGGCTGCGGGTATCCGCAGGTTCAAGGAAACCGGGGCTGCTGGTCCGATTCGACATCGTGTCGCGTTCCCGGGGAAACCGAACAGGTGACGCGCCTGTGCGCCTCTGTGAAAATGCAGGTTAATGGAATGCCGTTTAAGTAGCCTCTGCCGCACGGCTCTGCAGCTCGCAAGTGCATACGATTATACACCGCGACTGGATTCTCGAGAGTCTTCCACGCTCCACGGCGCGATCGGATAGAGAATTGTGCCGCACCGCGATCGAAAACATTACTTCCGACACGTATAGAACTCGTTATAGAGATTTCCAGAGGCGTAATTTATTCCGCTACAACGAGATGGAGAACTCGCGCGTAGATAGAAAACTCGTAGATACAAACTTGCAATGCGTGCGTGTAGATATTTATTAAATAAACAACGTGACGTAAAACTGGAATTTTATATAAAAGGATCGTGAAGGAGAGAGAGAGAGAGATGGAGAGAGTACTTTTGCTTTTTCCTTATTTTTGCGACATTGATCACGTGGGCAGAGTGACTATTTGTCGAAACAGTGTGATAGAACAACGAGAACTGAGAAATGGAGAGGTTTTGAATACCGATTGTTTCTCGTTTCAATTCTAATGAGGCAACGAATCCGATTGTTATGGACTCTTTCATAAGCACGCAAGTCTTTCCACAATCCACTCGATCGTTACGAACGAAGTAGTAATTTTCTCGTCATTTTAATTTTACAAGCGAGGATGGTAAAATCTTCGACGAGGCTGTGCGTTAAACGTGAAAATTCTTCGATGAATACGTATACTGCATGCACGAGATTAACTCCGAAAATTGGAATTTTTTATACGAACAAATATGTCGATCGTGTGTAGCGCTAATATTTACACTTTTGATAACATCAATTTATTTTTGCCAACTTGACACGCGATTTTTCAATATCCTTGTGTGTATTTTGGCGACTGCACGGGGAGTCTCTCCATGCGCTCCTCTATCAGCGCCGCGACATAGCAACGAGCTCATCGATCGGTCACGGAGGCAGCTTTTTGAAAGCGCGAGGGAACCACGAGAAACCCCAACCGGACGACGACACCGAACGGGGAGGACGCTTCCTCGTACATACATATGTGCGCGTGCATGCGTGTGCCCGCGGGTGTGTGCGGGTGTACATTCGCGTCGTATCGATCTAATAATTCTTTTTCTCATACCGATGCATGAAGGCGGCGGTTGACATGTTACTATCCATGGGGTGGTTCCATAAATCCCGGCCGGGCCCCGCCAACCCTCTCTCGACGACGGCACTCCCGCTCGCGCGGTGCTCCGAGCTCCGCTCCGTCAACCCTGTCCTCTACGATACGACACCGCGACCTCGAGGCGACCTCAGGAAATCCACAATCGGACGGGAGGATCCGACGCGACGCGAACGCGGCTGGCAACAACGACCGGTAGATAGAATCGCTCTGTCTCTCTTTTTCTTTCGCTGCGAACACCTGCCTACGTCGACCTGGACAGGTTGAGACCGTCTGCCTGACTGAAGTCAGAAATGCGCACTAGTCGGTTTCCATGGTGGATGGTGGTGGGCCGATGGTGGTGGACGGTGGCGCCGGTCGAGAGAAAGAGAAAGAGAGATAGAGTTGGAGGTGGAGTACTGGTGGAGGTGGCGGTGGCGGTTGTACCCGTGCTTCGAAGGGGGGCGACTGGTGGGGGCTTTGACAGAACCGTCTGTGCCGGCTGCGCACTGCGTTCTCCATCAGAGGCGATGGCACAGACCTTAAGGCATTGTGCGCATGATGGTGCTGGCCGAGAAACCCATCGGATTGACCCATGGGTATAGGTACGTGGAGTGTGGTCCAGCTAGAGGCCGAGACTAGAAATCGCCGCGTGACGTGGAGAAACCGCGGCACTAAATTTACATCGAGCAATTTATTAAATTCCTTGTCAATAACAAAACAACCGCTTTTTAAATTAGTCTTGCTGTATATGTAATTACTATACTTTATTAAATAATTATGATTGGGTGGGAAATTTTCGATATTTTTGAAAATGTTAAAAGTTATACAACTATTTTTTCAGAATTTTTTCAGAATATATATATGTATTATATTATTATTAAGAAATTGTGATCTTGATTTAAAAATGATACACGGAAGATGATGAATACAGATCTGAAAATAATTTTTTTAGACCATCAAAATAGTTTCGTCGAAAATTCAAACTGGTTATTAGAATAGTAAAACGTTTTTACAGTAATACTCATCATTTTTAAGTTTCCAACGAAGTTATTTTGATAATCCAACAAAATTATTTTCAGATCTGTATCTGCCAAATTTTTTGATCTTCCGCTAAAATTGTTCTTTTCGTGCAGATTTGTTTTAGGCTACAAACTCTTTTTCTCTCTTTCTTTCTTCTTTACATAATAATTTTTATCTTTTCTATTACAGTAATAAAAATAGCTAAAAATCCTCAAATTATTCTTTTTCTCGCGTACAAAAATAATTAGCGTGCTCTTTATCTTTCTAAGCTACTATAATAATTTCTTTGTACATACAAGAGAAAGTAATGTATCCCCAGTAGTTTGTTCTTCGCGAAGGCGCGGCACTTAAGATGCAACTTCTTTAAACGTGTTGTAGCGTTTTAGCGTAGGTTTTTCTAGAGTCTCCTTTATTGTTCCGTCCGAGGGATCTCACTCGCGACTCGCGATTTTTGCTTTTTACTACTGGTTGGGAAATGTTGGCACACGCGATACAGAGCTCCGTTGAAAATCGCCATTTTTTTTTGCTTCCCATTTATAAGCTTCCGCAGTTCCATTTTCATCTGGTGTACATACAATCGCCGCGCGGGCGCTCTCGCCAGGCATTCATTTTATTCTTTGTCTCGCGTGTCTTTTTTCGTATCTCTTGTCCTTGCTTCCGTCCTTCGTGCTGCTCGTGCAGGATGCATTTTTGCACGAGAGAATCCGCAGCTGATGTAATGGCGCGCGATTTGCGTCCAGACAACGGCAAAATGGCAAATATTTGCCAATTCGTCGTCATCACGGTTTCTCCGAGCGTTGGATCTTCGATTTTTCTCACACTGCAAGAGAGCGTGCGACTTAAATATTCTGCAAATCTTCTTTGCAAACGCCTCCTTGAAATATAATTATATGTATATATACGCGCTTATTAAATATCTATATATACTGTCCTTTATTTTTGGCAGATTATAAGAAATATAAGAAATAGAATCAACTTACGGACGCAACAATTCAGTTCCGTCGAAATTGAATCGAAATTTGATCGCGTCCATTGGAGCACCTCGCGCGCGTAGTATCGATCGTCCTTTCACGATGTTTGCCGGGAGGGACAATGACGCTAACTCGTATAATTGTTCGTGGCTATATTCTCGGGCTAATTGCATTGGCCTGTTCGTGCTAGCTCCTCTCGCCGCGGATGACGGGGTGCAATTTAATTTAAGGCGAGCGTCTGACTGAAGTGGGTTCCGGAGTCCTCGGTTTCACCTGGACGAGTTTCGGTTTCCCCAGTTCCGGCGCATTCAGAATTCAAAGCTCGAGGACGAAATCAATAGTACGCAGATATCGCGCGCCTCAGCTATTTTCCTCCCGTGTTCCCCCTCCACGTCCGCTTCCGGTAATAAGTTCCTCGGTTGCGCGGTAAAGTGTGCCAACGGAAAGAAAAAAGGAAAAGAAAAGGGTCGGGGATATTGGCGAGCCTCGAAAACCGAGGAAATCGGATTTCCCCGTTTTTCTCGGATGAAATGAAAGTCGCTCTCTGACGTTCGGAAAAACAGCTCGCCCAATTTTTCCTCGAAGGAACCTGCAAAGCGCCGCAGAATTTTTCTGTCGCGCTTTATTAATACAAGTTATTATTAAAATATTTTCTTTTCATATAAACATAGATATACGCTAAATAATTTATACCATTGACGTGAATATTTCGCTTACGTTATAATTTCGCGTTAGTACAAAAAGTTTTGACGCTAACGATTGAAGTGTATTTCGCCTAGGTTTCTGAGATAATTGTAAGATAGGATTGGCGCGCGACGATGAAAATATCGCGCTTATTAAATATTGACAGCGCATAATCACTCGACGTGCGAGTCGTCGGGTGAGAGAGTACGGACAAAAGAACGAGAGGGAAAAAAAATACAGTCCGTAAGGACGGTGCGCGCTGCTCATCGTGATCGGCGCGGCAGAACGGACGGCATTATTCGCGCAGCACGTAGCGATTCCATTCGTCATTGTCCGACATCCCTTTGTAACGTTACACGAGGATGACTTTCGCGGCATATGGTCTCATTCACCGGTGAATCGCTGCAGGCGTGCGCACGGCGCACGTGCGCAATGCCCGTATATCGCATTTTGAAGCAAAAGTCAACGACTGTTCGGGATTCCTGAGCGCCAAAAAGTACATATATATATGCGTCAGAGGTGTACAAAACGGCGTCTACAATGAGACTTAAGATTTAAGAAAATTGACTAATCGCAATTGATTATATTCTTCTCACGTGAAATAAATAATTGTCAATTTTCTTAAATCTTAAGTCTTAAGTCTAGACGCCGCTTAACGTCGCAAACGCGCCGTTTCTAATGCACCATCAATTAAAAGGAAGAGCGGGACACAAGCGTTTCTCGCGATCAATATCGCGAAAGCGAACGCGCGCGCATTCGAAACGACGTAATTATCCCGCGTGGAAAGTCAGCTAGGATTTACTCGTTTATCATTCATCGAGAACGAGGCGACCATTTCGCTTTACCTTCCTCCGATCCGTCGTGCCGAGGCGAGGGTGCCGAGTAAACGAGACGCGAGCGAGAGAGGGTGTCGGGAAAACGCGGATGTGCTTGAACGCTGGGGACGTACGATGGGACGCTCGCGTGCGAGCGGGAGATTCGATGAGACGGAATAGCAGCCAGTCACGTCTCGTCGCGAAGACACGCACAGGGCTGACGCACACTGAGGGGGTGAATAAACGGGGGTGGCTCTTCGAGAGTCACTCTGATGATACACTGGAAATTACGCACGCGAATAAATTCGCGAGACGCTCGCGTCGGCGAAATTGGATTTAATTCTTAATATAATTATTATTATTGTAATCATGTATTTTTTATTATAAATTTGTCGACACGAGTCATGACAGAAAAAATTAGTTCTAGCTCAATTAGTTCTAGTTCTATTAGTTCTAACTCAAAACTTGCCAGAAAGGTAAAAATAAAAGTGCAATTTTTTATTATAGATACTTTTAATTATGATAATTATAATCTATATCTCACTCATTTGATTCGATTTCTAGTTTTGCTTATGAGAGGAGTGATATTGTGATAACATTTTGACGACGATTGTACCGTCTCGGTACAATGCAAATCGCGACAATCAATAATCGTTAAAAGAACAGGAAGGGAATAGAGAGACGATTGAACGATGGTAATTTACTTTGCTCATTTGTTTAGCGAGGCGCTTGAATTACAAGCGACTCATCGTGCTTCAGTGCAACGAAGTCTAATTGCAAACAACATCGGAGTGTAAGCAAACACATAGCGGAATCTATTAATATATTTAAAAATAAAAATAACGTAACATTTTTAATGAAAATTACATACAGATTATATAGAAAAATATAAAACACAGATTATATAGAAGAATATAAAAAGATTCTTCCTAAATAGTTTGATTTTACCGATCGAATTAATTAGGATCGAAGTTTTTAATATTGATCTCAATTCTGTGGAACTTTTTATCCATAAATTTTTTCAATTTTTGTCTTTTAATTATTATTTTTTTATTTCTTGCGTATATACATACATAAATTATAATTCTCAAAAGCGAAACGCAGGTAAATTTTATTCTCTGCATTAACGTTAATTTCGGCATGATAATTGCCTATTTATTGAAATTTTAATTACAAGGAACAAAATATTCTGTATGCGTTAAATTTTATGAAATTAAAACAATTCACGACGAATTGAATGACATAGAATATTCCTTTATTGCATGCATTGCATAGCGTGCTATTACGTACAGTATATATAGCATAGGATATAGCATTACAGTACAGTGGATGTGGAGCTTTAAATTTTTTATTGGTTCAAATGTGATTCGTACAATTATCGTTGTCGGATTGACAATCCGAGAATATGATTGATTCAAGAGACGGAAAAAGCGTAATGTATATCCACTAAAAAGTTAAAATTCGTACATTGATGTAATGATGTTTAGTGTATATTTCTTTTACAATACAATTTACATTACGAAC